ATGGGAATTCTTTAAGATATTTTTGTAACTCTTTATGTGTTTGAGTACTTGAAAACAAATAATTAGGATGGGACAGGAAGGAAGCAAAGCCATGGGTGACAAGTGCATTCCAAGATCCTGAAAGCACAGACGAGCCCTGGTCAGCGGTGACATTTGGGACCCAGCAGTGCCCTACCAGTGCCTGGCGCCGGGGTGGACACAGGTGCTCTGGGTTTGCTCAGGCATGTGAGACAGGAGGCTGTCTACGCCAGGTGCACTTTGGCCCAGAGAAAGGCCCCTGTTCCTCGGATCACCCTCCTTGTGTGATGTGCCCGTGGTTGAGTGTGGTGGTTGGGGTCGTTGTGGGGCAGAGATGCTGCGCCTGGGCCTGGCATGGGCTGTGAGCCCAGCATCATCTTTTTGTCTGCAGCTTGGGCACCGTCACGGTGTCTGCTGTGCCCATCTAGATGAAGTCATGGCCGAGCACTTGGTGCCAGAGCCGCTCTTCTTTCTGGAGCATGTGCATGAGCTCCTGTTGCTGGCTCCGTTCAGTGACGGGAACAAGGAACCACCAGAGGCTCAAGGCCGCCATTTTCCTTCCCATGTTGATTACCCCATAATATTCTGAGGGTGCTTACACTTTATTTCTACTTGAAAACTGGAAATAGCCCTGGCCAGTTTGGCTCAGTGGTTAGAATGTCAGCCTGCAGACCAAAGGGTCAGGGGTTTGATTCCCAGTCAGAGGCATGTATGGGGGTGGCAGGTTCTGTCCCCGGCTAAGGTTGGAATCATGCGGGAGGCAATCAATTGATGCGTCTCTCTCGCATTAGTGTTTCATTCTCTCTCTCTCCCTCCATCTATCTAAAAATCAATGGAAAAATATCCTCAGGTGAGGATTAACAAAAAAGAAAGAAAGAAAGAAAGAAAGAAAGAAAGAAAGAAAGAAAGAAAGAAAGAAAGAAAGAAAGAAAGAAAGAAAGAAAACTGGAAGTCAACACGGGAAAGTAGTCACAGTGCCTGCATTGTTATTTAAAAGTTGTCCCCCTCAGAGGGGCTTTGGGATGGAGTTTCATAACTCAGATGTTTGGAGTGGACATTAATTTGGGCATTTCCAGTTCCATTAGTTGACATCTGATCCATTTTCCCGGTTCTGTCTGCTCAGGATGCTGAGGTTTCATAATTCACCGAGGGATCTCCCTGGAGGACTCGGGGCTTCCATCATGTCTCACTGAATTAGGGTGCCCCCGGAGGTTAAGAGGCAGGAGTTGGGCCCTGGCCAGTTTGGCTCAGCAGTTAGAGCGTTGGCCTGTGGACCAAAGAGTTGTGGGTTCAATTCCAGTCAAGTGCACCTACTTCGGTTGCAGGTTGGTCCCTAGCCCTGGTCGGGGTTGTGCTGGAAACAACTAATTGATGTATCTCTCTCACATAGATGTTTCTCTCTCTGTCTCTGTCTCTCCTCCCTCCCCCCTTCCCTCTCTATCTGAAGATAAATGGAAAAATGTCCTCGGGTGAGGATTACGAAAAGAAAAAAAGAGAGCTAGGAGTTGGGTTGCCAGACAGGCTGGTTAAATTCCACTCCCCGTTCACTAACGGCTCCAACCCCTGAATCTCTCCAGAACAAGGGTAGTAACGGTACCCATCTCTGTATCTCCTACAAGGAAAATGCAGTTTTAGGGAAAACACAGCCAGCAGTGGTGGGTGGCACCAGAGAACTGGCCGGAGGCAGGTCTGCACTGCACTGTGGTCACGGGACTTCCTGAGTGGGCTTTTCTGATCTGGTCAAGGGATTAAGCCCTGCATGGGTTTCACCAGCTGTCGAGAGCTATAACACTATCTGCCAAATTCACCTCATTCCTGGCTTCTAGAATGAAAACATATTGGGAAAACATATTGGGAAAAAAATGGTTTGAAATCTAAATGCAAAACCAAAGAGTGTGGGGACGTGAATTATTCAAAATGAACCTGGAGTCTGAAAAATTCTGAGCATTGCAGGGAACCTGTAGTAGTGGAGCCACGGGAGCTGTGTGCCTGTCCCTGGGACACAAGTGGCTGCTGCCACAGTACAGACCTTTCCCGATGGCCATGACCTTTCCCAGCTATGGTCACTATCCACCCAGCGTCCCAGATTCAGACCTCACATCCCCGTGTCCTGTGCCGGCAATGGGACCATGAATAAAGGGGTGTGGGCTATAGATATGGGGTATGGCAGGTCACCTCTCAGGACCCACACTGCCTCTCAGTCATCCTTACTTGTCACCTGGGAGTAAGAGGTAATAACATCCCATGCTTGATGTTTCACAGGGGCTGTGGTTTCATGTGGTGTTTAACGTCAGAGTTCTTGGATCTAATGTGCTATTGATGGTAAGATTTACTGTTACTTTGTGTCAGAAAAGAAAAAGAAACGCTGCCAATTAAATGATCAGACACAGTAAAATACACAGTGCATCTCAATTTTAGAAAAAAAATGCATCCTGGAATGAAAAGTCACTGTGCTACAGATTAAGTTTAATTTCTTTCCGGAGGAGATGGGGAAGCAACACTTTGAAGTGACCCTCAGGAGCAGTGTTTACAAATGCCACTGAAGAAATGCAAACGACTGAAGGACAACATCAACAGGGTCTGATTACATACACTATGGCACATGTGTGAATGGAATGAAAAGCAACAGTTAAAAAGACTGAGACCTCAGTATGCCCTGGCCAGCTTGCTCAGCGGTTGGAGCATTGGCCCTCAGACTGAAGGTCACGAGTTCAATTCTCCATCACGGGCACATACCTCGGTCAGGGTGAGTGCCGGATGCAACCAGTCAATATGTCTCTCTCACATCAATATTTCTCTCTCTCCCCCCCTGCCTCCCTCCACTCTCTCTAAAAATCAGTGGAAAAATATTCTCGAGTGAGGATTACAAGAACAAAAAAAGACTGAGGTAGATATATGTATGATTGATATTGAAAAATATTAAAAAACCCAGTTAAGTGAAAAATGCCAAAGGAAACAATTATGAATACCATAGTTCTTATTTGTAGAGATAAATCATGTGTGTGTGTGTGTGTGTGTGTGTGTACAACACACAAATGTAAGTATGCAACACACACAAACTCCTGATTGTCTGTGTAGAGTAAATTTCTTGAAGGAGACATAAGGCGTCATGACTGAAGTTTGAAAGGATCTTGCTTTCCACATGTACCACTGTGGCATTCGGATTTCTGAAGCTGTGTGTATGTGTCACTTTTATAATAAAAATGAAATCAACAAGTATTATATTTTTAAAAATTCAAGGAGGTGCACTATTCATTACTTGTTGTGGTTTTGGTTTTCTTTTCAACATGTGGACTGCCCTGTAGTAGGAAAATGAAGTGGGGAAACCGTTTCATTCACTTCATGATGCTTGTGAATTTTTCTTTACCAGGATCGAATTCTCCTAAATCTTCAATAAGATGGAGAACAGGTGACTTCCTTCTAACCCATGTGTGCTCCACTCACTTCAGATCTGCTTTGCTTTTGCACAGCAGGGTTGAAAGGGCCGCTTTTAGGGGGAGCTGGCGAAACGAGCTATCACTTCAAAACAGTAAGCCGTTGTCTATGTACGTCTGGGAAAAGTGTCGACTTACCTTAATTGGGTTTCTTTTCCTGGAAAATAACTCTCAGTTAATTGCTCCACACCCACTAATCCTGCTTTGGACCCTGAGTGGCGGAGGCGAGTGATGAGAACCCTTCACCCACTCTGTCTGTCTTTCTGCCTCTCCTGATTGAAAAGCATCAGTAGCAGCAAATGTTAGTTTAGTTATTCAGAAACCTGACGTGAAAAACACTTTGGTGCGATATGCTTAGTAGACAATGGCCCGTGGGTTCTTTCAACAACAGAGGTGGAAGCCTTCACACTTTCCTAAGAAATGGAAAGTGATGAATTCTACTGAAAACATATCCTGTCCTGTTCCCACAGCCCAGGACACCCGTGGTGACCAGGAAGGGGAGGTGGGGTGCCTGGGGGGCACCAGGTGGTCCCAGGAAGCCTCAACACCTGAGTGTCTGCGAGCAAGCATCCCGAGGGCGCTGGGACACGCCTGGCGATGCTCAGAGGCAAGCGTCCAATGAAAAGAATGTTGCCATCAACCAGACAGGCCCCAGCGAAGCCGCCAAAGCGCCGTGTTAAACATCAGTCACCAACTGCTGTTTTATTCACACCAGATGCTACATCGAAAAGATAGTGTCCAAGGTTATTTTTAACAAGAGCAAGTGTTCTCTTTTTCGAGATTCTCAGAGTGAGAAACATGGGCCACAGGGAGCAGCTGTTTCCTTATCAGCAATCCCGGGTGGGGCAGGCCCCCGGGCCTCTCTGCGAGGTGGACCTGACCCACGAGAGTGTGAGGGCTGCAGACCACAGAGAAGAAAGAGGCGGGTGCCGGCGTGAGAGCTTTATTGCCTGGTTTCCTCACTTAGTTGTTCCAAAAGGTTGGTTTTAAAGATCCAGTGTGATTAAAAACCTAGGCTGGCGGGTTAGACGCAGTGCTGGTGGCTGCACCCTGACGGCACCGCTGCTGCAGGTTGCGATGGGAAACACACAGCGAGAAAGCAAAGTGCAGCCTGTGCCCGTGGGGGAGGGGCCTGGCCGGCGGGAAACAGGCTGGCAGTAGCCGAAATTCATGTCTAAGAGCTAGAAACAGACAGTGATGGAAAGTCCTGCAGATGGAGGAGGCCCTTCTGAGCAGAGCCGCTGTGGTTAGTCGAAGTGAGTGAGCAAATAGCGTTAGTTATGCAACAGAATAAAATACACCAATTGTCCAAGAGGCTATTTGCCACCATTGTATGCGGAGGTGTGAGGGTAGCAAATCCAGTGTGACCTCAATAATGCACTAGATTTGGGTCAGGATAGGAAAAAAAGGTTCTTGTAGGACAAAAAATGTATTTTATAAGCATGGTCAGTTAGGCATGGATTCTCAGCACGCTGAGTCGGTGAGCTGCGTGTGGACTCCCCTGGGGCACCCAGAGCTGGAAGGGGCTCCCTGGAAAGGAAAATGGCTTTACTTCTCCTCTGTGGACAGGCGGTGAAGCGCTTCGCCCAGTTGCTCCAGCTCCTCCTTGTGCTCCAGGTCCTGGTACAGGCCCTTGGGAACAGCATCCAGGCCGTGGAGCAGCCCGAACAGGCAGCCCGCGATGGTCCCTGTGGCGCCGCTCTCACCTGGGACGGAAACACAGGTGCTCAGGGATCCCAAGGGCCGAGTGGGAAGGGAGCATCACGGTGACTGGGCACGGACCAGGGCCTCCTTGCCAGGGCCTGTCACTCTGCTGGGCGGATGGCTCTGCAGCAGGCAGCACCGTGGCTTTCTCAGCCTCCTCCCCTCCCTCACGCCAAGCCCCCTCCCTCACGCCAAGCCCGTTTGGCTCTGGGCAGTGCTCCACGGGCTGTAGGCTGCTTTTGCTGTCCCCAGTTAAGGGGACAGGTAGTTCCCCTCCCTCCCTCCCCAAACACTCGGACAACACACAATGTGTGCAGATGCCTTTGTTGTCCTGGGGGCTGGGTACTCAGGGAGACCACCTCCCGTAGGGCATGTTCCTGAGAGCCCTCCCCTCCAGGCTCTCCAGGGTGACCAGAGTCCATGATAGTCCCCCTCGCAAGCTGTCTGCATCTCACGAAGACTCCTGCGTGCCCTCCCTCCCGCTCTCCGCGAAGGGAGCTGGGCTGTGTGGGTCCTTGAGCCTCTCTGAGGATCCCCCTGCTGTGCTGATTCCCATGCTTCTCTCCTGGGCTCCTCCTCCTCCAGCGGGACCCACCACACTCTCCAAGAAGCTCCCCTTGACCTCCAGGAAGCGCTAATAGTGCAACCATCTCAGCACCAGGAACAGCAGTCTGCTCTGACAATAGCCATTTTAATATTGATGGAATCCATGCCCACCAGGAGGTAACACACACAGGCATCCTGTCTACACTCGCAGGAGACGATGGGCACCAGGGAGTGAGGCCAGCCTACCCAGCCCTGTAGCCAAGATCACAGCTGCTCAGCAGCACGGTGGTGAACTCCTGGCCCCATGCATTAAACTTCCTCAACAGCCCTGTGAGTTGGGCCTTATCCTCTTCCTTCACAGAGAGGCAGGCCTGGCACTGGATTCGAACCCAGGACTGCAGGAGTCTAAACCTCTCTGTGACGGCAGAGTCTGCAGAGGTGACGGAGGAGATGGTGGTGACCACAGAGGTCAGAACCCTACATGGCCACACCAAGGAATCTGCGTGCTCTCCAAGCAGCGCCCACGAGGGGGAGGAGCCCTGCACTCCAGCCACGGAACACTACATTCTCTCCAGCTCCGACTGCAGGACCCCTGAGCCAGCACCGTGACCTGCCTGCAGCCTGTGAGACCGTGCACGAGCACGCTGGAGCCAGCACCCTGCCCAGAGAAGCACCCACATTCTGGGGTTCCCCCATGCCTGAAACTGGACATCCCGACAGAATGCTCGGTGACGAGAAGGGGGTGCTGGCCTCCTCGAAGTGCGAGGCCTTTGAAGAAGGAATCTCACCTCCGTGGAACATGGCCCGGTGGCAGAGCTCTTCCCAGTTGTCCCCGGCTCCTAAGAGAGCGTCGTAGGCGATCATGGGGGCATCGTGGCCCCGTCGTCCCCCTCGACCTTCCGAGCTCCACTTCTTGTAGGTCTGAAGGAAGAGCCGGGGGTCAGAGGGAGGGCCCAAAGCAGAGCCACGGCAGTTTGTCAGATCACGAGCTCCCCGGTCCACCCGTGGGCCGCTCATTCACGTGCTGCGCACCCACGAGTGCCACCGGGGCCAGGCAGTGCCCTGGGGCTGGGGATGGACAGCGAGCAGGAAAGGCCACTTCGCATGCTCCCCCACTGCAGCCGTCCGTGGACAGACATCCGCAGACGAGCAAGCACCCTGCGGACACGGCGGCGTCTCAGGAAGCCATGAAGTCTATGAGGAGAAATCGAGCTGGACGAAGGGACTGGAGTGCTGTAGGGGCTGTTATGACACCACATCTGGTCTGAGTAGGGCAAAGGGACGTCGAGGTCTTTCACGTCCCTTCCACATGCAGCTGCTCCCTCAGCCCCTCTGTACTGCTTGGGGCAGCCCCACTAGACCTGGGGCTCGGAAGGCAGTAGCCCAGTCGGCGTGGACCCCCATGGGCAGTGGGACCCGGAAAGCTCCTGGTCCCTTGATGCCAAGTCAGACACAACAAGGCTTACCTTGTCCCTGTCCTCTGCATCATAATGGTCCGGAAAGACAGCTTTACTTTTAGTGTCTTCATTAATTTTTCTCTCCTCCAGGTAAAACTGCCATTTAGCTTCAAAGTAGAACCAGTGCTCCTGGTACTCTAAATGCAGAGAACAGGGTGGCAGGTGGTGATGGCCATCAGCCGGGGTGTGGGGGTCGGGGGAGAGTGGGGCACAGAGCCAAGGGGCTGGCTCGGGAACGCAGTGGGCAGTGAGCGGGAGGGAACAGAAGACCGAGGGCAACGCTCTTTATCCAGCACGGGGACAGGGGACGGGAGGGGAACCTGGCACCTGGCCTTCGTGATTGCTGCAGGCATTCAGAAATGCTTATATGTGAAGCTACTTTGAAGCAACAGCCAGGAAGATGGAGGCAGGTGGGGTGGGAAGGAACCCGAGGAATTGCTTAGCTACCTTCTGAAACAAAGACAGTGGTGCCATCTTTTTAAGTGCATTCTTTAAAAAATTTGAACCTGTATATTTTTATTAATTCAACACTGTCTGCAAGGTAGGGAGAGGACAGTTTACGGTTCCTAATTACCAAAGGTGCTGAAGCGAGCTTTCTGAGATCATTTGGTGAGAGGACGTTGACTCAGAAACGAGTCAGCCACCGCCGCCGTGCTTGCTGGTGGAGGACAGGAGATGGACTCCGAGTCCTACAGCACCCAGGAGGCCACCAGGGCTTTGTGTCCCTCCACAGAGTGTGCTGGGTTAGCACACCTGTCCTCCTTGATAGCAGGAGGACCCTGGCTCCACTGGTCGCCCAGGATACCAGCTGAGGAGAATGGTTAAGTGGCCCGAGGCCTGAGGAGATCAACTGACTTAAGAGGAACCACAGATTCTGCTGTGTCTGCTTATGGCTGGGGAGCCAGGGAACGGAGCGGTGACCAGAGAGGGGCTAGGTGGTCACTGGCTACAGAGGGCAGCAGGAGGTGCCTGGTGTGGGTCCTAGAATGACATTCCAGGTTGCCGAGGGAATTCCAGGCCTTCAGAAACAGTGGCATGACTCTGTTTTACAAAACTAAAGGTGAGGCCCGTCGAAGGCCGATTTCAGTGAAATAAGATCAAAAGTGAAAGACGGAAGAAACAGGGTGGGGAGCGGAATGCACAGATCCTGTCATCCAGCAGAGACCTGTCATTCTGATGGAGCTCATGGTGGGTGTGGTGCAAACTCAGACACAGCCTCTTCCCAGGCCAATGGCCGGCCAGTTTTAGAAGAAGACCTTCGAGCACCAAAGCGAGGGACTAGCTTGCTGGTTGTCCTTACTGCCAATGCATGTCACAGGCGAAGCAGAGGCCCGAGAGGAATATTTCTGGGGGTGTTCTACAGAACATTATTTTTCCGGATGATTAGGTAGTTCATTTAAAAGGGATTAAGAAGTATGAGTAGGCATAACCAACGGACACAGACAAGAGTGAGGGGAAGGCGGTGAGAGGTGGGAGTGGGGCTGTCAGTGGGGGAAACAAGGGCCATCTGTAATACTTTAAACAATAAAGATAAATAAAAGAAAGAAATCCTCAATAAAGAATTGATTGAAAAAATAAGGAGTATGAACGGGGAAGAAAAAAGAAGTGCAAAGGAGTAGTTACAAAATAGTCACGAGGATGTAAAGTACAGCGCAGGGAATATAGTCGATCATATTGTAGTAAGTGTATGGTGCCAGGTGGGCACTAGACTCATGGGGGGAAGTTACGTCATAAGTTATACAAATGTCTGACCACTGCGCTGGCACAGCTGACACCCATGTGAATAATCGTGACTGTCAGCTGTAATTGACAAAAAGACTAAAAAATAATAAAAATAAAATGAGAAAGGGGTTCTGCCATAGAGGTTCATAAAAGTCTGGATTGAACAAATTTAAAATTAAACAGACTAAAGTCTCAAAATTATCTGACCAATGACTCTCCTCTTCGTTTTTGTTCATGGAACATCTTTGACTGTTCTTCTGAAAACACTGGGGAATGATTCTGGGGGAACATTTGTTAATATAATATGAATAATGCTGTAACCGTGCAGTCGCAAACACCAATGTTATTTACCTGTCTCTTCTTTCAGATGGGTTAAGGCAACACTACTTGGGTGGGGGTGGGGGTGACTAATCCAATGACCACAGACCGACTCCCCAGGGCTGGAGAGAACCCAGGATAACAGAGACTTAAGCCAAATGAAAATCAACAGTGTGGTGCTGCCGCCTGTGTACTATAACTAAGTTTATAGAGGGATGGCTACTTAGGGACGCTTAAGTTTGGGTGAACACGGAGGTTTCTCATTTCTCATTGGAATAGGGACCTTGTAGAGAAATGTTTCCCAGCACTAGGTTCAGGCAGATATAAAAGCAAAAATCTCCTTTCAATGTTGTTCTAGCCCTGGCTGGTTAGAGCCAGGCTTGCAGACCGAAGGGTCACAGGTTCGATTCCTGGTCAAGGGCATATACCTGGGTTGCAGGTTCAATCCCTTGCCCCTGTCAGGTCGTGTGGGAGGCAACCGACTGATGTTTCTGTCACATCAATGTCTCTTTCTCTCTCTCTCCCTTCTTCCCTTCCACTCTCTCTAAAAATCAGTGGAAAAATATCCTCAGGTGAGGATTAACCTAAAAAAAAAAAAGTTGTTCTAGAAGCTTCCCATGTGGTATTCTAGAATATAGTCCCTGCAGCTTGGAAGATGACAGTAAAGTTATTTTTTGGTTTTGTGTTTCAAGACTTCAGCCTCAGGTTATTCTGAAAAATCCACAGCCCTGCTCCTACATTCAAACCCCTCATCTCCCTCTCCTCCAGGACAAATTGGATAATTTATTCTAGAAGTTCTCCTCCCAGTTTGAGAATATCAAAGGCCCGTGACCCCCTGTGGCTCAGCTGCCTGAGGAGAACACTATGAATTGCCTAGTCCTGTGCCTGCTCTCCCTCCGGATCCCCATGGGAAAGAGGTGCAGGCCCAGAGGAGCTCGGAGGCCCCTCCAGCGCCCATGATACCCCAGGACCTGTGCTGGGTTGGCTGCTTTTGGCTGAGTTGACCTCACTCATGGCCAAAAAGAGTATGAACCATTTGATGACAGGTTTTGAGTCAACGGTGACAGATGGAGCCTCTTGGGAATTAATGTCATCAGTGGGCACAAACCTCTGGCCTTCGTGTGGAGGACATAAGGCTCTTGGGTTAGGCACAGCTGTCCATCAGGTCCCTAGAACAGTGTCAGTGTCCCTCATTCCTTTGAGAAATGGGCTACTTAAGGACAATTTGTAAAATTAAATCTAAGTACAATAAATCCTCACTTAACATCTTCAATAGGTTCTGTGACTTTAAGCAAAATGCTGTATAAGGAAACCAATTTTACCATAGGCTCATTGATACACACAAGAATTAAGTTCCTCATCAATGTTTTAACAAAATGACAGCAAATGAAACACACAATTCAAGGACCTACTGTATGCACCCCACTCTTCCTGCCACCACTGTGGGTCTCTGTGCACACCTGGGGCCCTCCTGAGCAGGTGTGACCCTCTGGCCAGGCAACACTTGAGGCCGTTTTTGTGAGGTCCACCTGTTCACACGGACCCTACGGGGATGCTCTTGGGTTCACTGTGGGGCAAGTGGACCTTGACCTTTTTGGGAGCCGAGTCTATCCAAATTTGCTCTGAGTGTGAATTGAGACTTAACTCTTTCTGGGTGCCAGTGGAGTAGGACAGGAAAGGAGGCCAGGCTCACCTGCCAGGTGCCGGATGGTCTTCTTACAATATTCTTCAGCCAGTGGGATTGTCTTCATCATGTCTCTCCCCCACTGTTCCAGTGGCTTTCCTTGTACGGCGTAGGATGCAAACAGGGCTGTGCACAGGGACCCGAGGAAGCCTGGAGGGGAAGGGGGAGAGGGCAATGGTGGTACCTGGGCCACACCTCTGCTCTGGGATGCTGGATGAGTGTTTACTGATGCAGGACCATGTGCAGTTGCTTCATGCATTTTGACATTTTGTTTCCTCTCTGCACAGAGGTACAGTACTCGTCTTGCAAGGCTGTTGTGGGGACAGATGATTCTAACCACAGACGAGTGCTTGCCAGGTCTGGCTCATGTAACGGCCACCCCAAGACTATGCGCCTCGGAGAAAGGGCACTGCCATCTCGCTGAGACACTCTTGGCTCTGTGGCTGCTCCTGGAGGTATTAGTTAAGGATCATTTCAATTCAGGATAAGCGTCTAGTTCTCAAACCCAGGGTTCAGTTGCTGTCCTGACCACCCACCATTGCCCCACCCCCTCTCACGGAGTGCTTCCGCTCCAGAGTCTAGGATAATGCACGCTGTAATAAAAATTATGACACTTGCTGTCAAAAATGGTTCAAAAACTGAAAAGGAGAGTGGACTTAAAATGCACATCCTGGTGTTCATTGTATACAATTAAACCCTTAAAACATCTCAGTCACCATCCTAGAAAGATATAAATGACTTAGCTATTAAACATGGCAAATCACATTTCTTTAATAAGAGTGGGTAACATATTAGCCAATGTTTTAGAGGTTTAAATTCTCAGCCCAGATTTTTGTATTCATCATATTGTTTCCAAATGCTCAACATTTTCATGTGTGAAGGTTTTTTTTATCTTCACCCGAAAACATTTTTTTTTCCATTTATCTTCAGATAGAGTGGGAGTGAGAGAGGTGGGAAGAAAGAGAGAGAAACATCGATGTGAGAGACACATCGATCAATTGCCACCTACATGATCCCAACCAGGGCCGGAGACAAACTGCTACTGAGGCACATGCCCTTAGCAGGAACCGAACCCGGGACTCTTTGGTCCGCTGGCTGATGCTCTAACCATTGAGCAAAACCGGCCAAGGTATGTGAAGGTTTTTTTTTTTGTTTAATTTACTTCTAGTTTAATCGGCTAGTTAGCAGATGTCTAACATTAACTCTTTTTCAACTATCCAAAATGTTGTCAACTGGTTGAATTATATACCTTTCTGCCTATAATTTAAAGATCTAATGAACTTATTTGTGGAAGTTACGGTTTAGCATTTGGTGAACTCATCAGCGTATTTTGCCGTATCCACTCATTGGGGTTTACATTGCCGACTACGGTTCACATCTACGAAAGAGTACTTTCCGAGAAGACACAGGGTAGCCCCTAAAGGCGACCTTGAGAGAGAACAGTCACCAGCCAGCAGCTGGCAGCCCCTGGACCTCTGGGTGGGTGGGGCTGGGGCACGTCACCAGCACTGCCATGACTGAGTGCCTATCACAGGTACAAGAGTTTCAAGTCATTCTTCTTCTTCTCCTCCTCCTCCTCCTCCTCCTCCTCCTCCTCCTCCTCCTCCTCTGTCTTCTTCTTAACATTAAGGGCTGATTGCCTTCCTAAATAGCATCTCACAGTCAGGCTCTGGGGCCACCCCATCTGCCCTCCCTCTGTGTGATGGACATGTGGTGGGGGATCCCCGGATGCAGCTGGCCCCACTGTGCACACCATGAGGTGAGCGTGTACTGAGAGGTTTGATTATTCTACTGACTTTATCCCCACATACACAATAAGTGGGAAGGCTTCCTGTCACCATAATCATCCCAGTTACAGGTGTGGAAGTGGAGGCACAGGTCATTAAGTGACTTGGTCTAACTTCCGTAGCCAATGAGCTGTGGCCCCAGGGCAGCTCATGGCAGAAAAGGACACCTGATCACAAGGCTGGCTTCTGTCTTGACAACATCACATAAATGCTAGCTCCCATGACTTCACCCCAGACCTCAGCTTTGTTTGGATGACTGGTGCTTTTCTAACCTCTTCAAAACCACCACACATGTTGCCAGTCCCATTTTTAGGTTGAAAACAGAATGTAAGCAGAACTGAAGATTAAAAAACCCAAATCTGCCAACAAACAGCAAACCAAACAATGGATCTGATCACATAAGTTTCCAGTCTAGTCCTTTGGGCAGAGAATCACAACAGGCACCTGTTCCGCCGCCAGCGTTACCTGTGGGGTGGTTGTGTGTCATCCGGCCGCACTCAATGCTGACTTCAATAAGGGTCTCCAGCCGCTCCGGCTTCCAGTACCTCATGCCAATGCACATCGCTTTGGTGGCGGCTCCGAACCCCGAACCTGCACGGAACGTGAAACACCTCATTTTAGACTTTTGCTCCAATAATTCCACTTCTGGCAATCTGGCTTTCATGAGTAATCTGAAAAAAAGTGTAAACATTTATGTAATAACATGTTTATCATAGTATCATTTAAATGAGTGAAAATAGGCAAATCATCCAAAAGCCTGACAAAGAAAAGAGATTAAATAAATTGCAAAGCATCCGTATGTTGGAGTGTTATTTAGTCATTAAACACAGAATTTTGGATGGCATGGGGAAATGCTCATAATATGCTTCTACTGGGAAAAATGTAGAAGACAGAATTGTATACACAGTATGCTTTCAATCACATATATTTTTCTCTTTTTAAAAACAGTTTCAGTGAGTTATAATTGACACATAGTCAACTGCATATGTTTATTTATTTGTTTCTTCTTCCTTTTATTGATTTTACAAAGAAAGATAGAAACATCAATGAGAGAGAACATCGACTGGCCTCCTCCTGCATGCCCCCCCACTGGGGATTAGGCCCACAACCTGGGCATGTGTCCTGACCAGAAATCGAACAGGTAACTTCTTGGTGCATGGGCCAACGCTCAACCACTGAGCCACACTGGCTGGACTCAACTGCATATGGTTAAAGTATGCAAGTTGATAAGTTTTGACACATGCTATACCCATGAAACCAGGACCTAAAGATAGTGAACATATCCACCACCCCAAAAACTTTTCCCATACCCTTCCTGCCATCTCTACCAACCACTGATCTGGCATTACAAATTAGTTTGCATTTTCTAGAAATTTATATAAGTGGAATCATACAGAATGTACTCTCTTTTTCCTGACTTCTTTCACTCAGCATAACTATTTTGAGATACGCCATGGTTCTGTTATTGATAGCTGACTCCCTTTTTTGCTGAATAGTACTCCACTGTATGGATGTACCACAACTGATTTATCCATTTACCTGCTGATGAACATTTTGGTTGTTTATAGTTCAGGGCTATTACAAATAAGATGCTGTGAACATTCATAACCAAATCTTTGTGTGGGCATATGCTTTCTTTTCTCCTGAGTAATTACCTCAGAGTGGAACATCATGCTCATATGATGGATGAATGTTTAACTTTTTAGAAATTGCCAAACAGGTTTCCAAAATGGATGTACCATTCTACATCCCACCAGCAGCTCCTCCACATTCTTGGCCACACTTGCTATGGTCGATCTTTCTAATTTCAGCCATTCTCTTAGTTATGTAGTGGTATCTCACTGTGGTTTTAATTTGCACATTTGTAATGACTAATGATGTTGAGCATGTTTTCATGCCTTTATTTGCCTTCATATCTCTTCTTTGGTGAAGAGTTTATTTAAATAGTTCTCCCATTTTTGTATTGGATTGCTTGTTTTCTTATTATTTTTAAGAGTTCTTTATATACTCTGGATTCAAATCCTTTATCAGACATATGCTTTGCAAATATTTTCTCCCAACATATGGCTTGCCTTTTCATTCTTTTAACAGTCTTCTGGAGAGCAGAAGAACAAATTTGGGAAGTATTCGTCCTCTTCAATTTCCTGGAAGAGTTATGTATATTTGCTCTATATATATTTCCTTTTTTAGCTGTCTGGTACAATTTCTTATTGAAGCTATCTGGATCTGGATCTTTCTTTGTAATTTCTTTCATAGATATAATGTTATTTAGGTGATCTATTTACTCTTGAGTGCCCTTTGGTAGTTTGTATCATTCAAGGAATTTTTCCATTTCATCTAGGTTGTTAAATTTATTGGCATAAAACTCTTAATAATATTCCTTTTCCCCCTTTTAATAAAAGGAAAAAGATTTATGCAATCTGAATTATGTCCCTCTTAATTTCTGTAGAATCTATAGTGATGTCACTTCTTTCATTGTTAAGACTAGTAATTTTGTGTCTTCTTTTTTTCTGATCATCTGCCTAGAGGATTAGCAATTTCTTATCTTAACAAATCAGCTTTTGGTTTTATTGAGTTTCTCTATTGTTTGTTTATGTCATTGATTTTCACCCTAATCTTCATTATTTCCTCTCTTCTGTTTTCTTTGCTCTTCTTTTTGTAGTTTCTTAAGGTGAAAATGGAAGATATTGGTTTGAGACCTCAATATTAAAATCTCTGCCCATAATTATGGATTTGTCTATTTTCCCATGCAGCTCTTTCAGTTTTTGCTTTATGTATTTTGAAGGGCTGTTATTAGATACATAAGCATTTAGGTTGGTTATGTCTTCCTGATGAATGGATGCATTTGTCGTTACAAAGTTACCTTCTTTTTCCCTGGCAATATTCTTTGCTCCCAAATTTACTTTAAGTGTTATTAATAGAGTCACTCCAGCTTTCCTTTGATTATGTTACATGGTATATCTTTTTCCATCTAACCTATTTGTGTCTTTATATTTAAAGTGCACTTCTTATAAGCATCACATAGTTGGGATTTGCTTCTTTATCCACTCTATACCTCTGTCTTTTCTTTGGGGTCTTTAGACCATTTATACTTGGTGTAATTAGTGATGTGGTCAGGTTTAAGTCTATCATCTTGTTAATTAATTTCAATTTTTTCTATCTGTTATATGTACCCTTTTCTCTTTTTCAGCAATCTTTGGTATTAAATATTATTAAGCAAGAAGATTTAGCTACCAATCTCAGTAAAAGACTCCCACTGTGTGGAGGATGGCAAAGACTGTGACAGTGCCACCACCAGAAGGGGGAGTCTACAGACCTACGACCACTGTGCCTTCTACAGGTTCAGAGTCACCAAGGAGGACTCAACACATGGGCATGGGTTAGAACAAGGCTTCCCTCCCAGAAAGGAGAAGACACACAGCAAGATCCGAGTTGGTAGTACGCTCTGATCTCCCAGGCCTGGTGGGTCTCTCCTGAAGACAAGGCAGGGGGGTGGACTGCATGCACCCTCGTGCTGCAGGTGGAGACCTCATTCTCGCCCCACAGGGCAGATGTACTGGTGGGGCAGTTTGTGTGCCATAGGATGCTCATGCTTAAGTAGTACAGGAAATTCACTGTGAACCCCAAGCAGGGGAAGGCTTCTCTTATTGAGGAGAAGAATCTGGGGTTGAGTGGCAGCTCTACATGTAGTCTCCACAGAGGGAAATGTTCCAGGTCAGGGGCACTGACTGGGCAAGCCACGGGATGGGCACAGGTCTCACGATGGCTGCTTCCCCAGCAAATATTGTTAAAATGATTCAGTGTCACTTCTTTTGTTGGCTTTCTAGCTGTAACTATTTTGTTATTTTAGTGGTTGTTTTGAGCTCATAGTACAGATCTTCAGCCTAGTACAATCTGCCTTCATGCCTCCTGTAAGAACCTTATAATTGTACATCTCCCTCTCTCCCCTCCCAGGCTTTGTGCTATTGTCATACACTTGCTTACACGTAATTTATAAACCTTTCCGTACTCCATTATTATTTGTTAAAGTCGATTCTCTTTTAAAGACATTTAAATAATCTTACGTATTTACCCACGTACTTACTATTTCCACCAGTCTCCATGCCTTTGTATAGATCCCTATTTCCACGGCTGATTTTTCCCTTCCGCCTGAGTGACTTCCCTTAGCATTACGGGCAGTGTGACTCTGCCGGTGATGCATTCTTCAGCCTTTGCTCACCTGAAAATGTTATTGGGTCTTGTCTCTGAAAGATAGTTTGTTCTGGGTGTAGGATTCTAGATGGAAGTTTTTCCTTTCCACATAACGACGTTGCTGGGCTATCTCCTCTCTTAGGTTGCTTCTGACAAGAAATCCGCTGTTGTCCTTACCTTGACTGTACAGGACGTGGGCTTTTCTCTTGAACGTTAGTTTTGAGCAATTTGACTGCTCTGTGCCTTGGCGTGGTTTTCTCCATTTTTGTTTTTGCTCAAACTTTATTGAGTTTTTTTGGATCTGTGAACTTACAGTTTTCATAAAATTTGGAAATATTTGGCCCCTGTTTCTTCAAATCTTTTTCATTGGTTCTCTTTCTCTCTGTGAAGAATTCCAGCTACAGATATGTTGGTTTGCTTTAAGTTGTCCCATGGCTCACGAGCCTTCTTTTTGTATTTTTGAATTCTTTTTCCTCTGTGTGTCCCATTTTGGATAGTTTCTTCAAACTCACTAACCTTTTCTTCTGAAATGTCTAAACTGTTCATCTCAGCCAATGTATTTTTAAACTCAGACATTGTAGTGTTTCTCTCTAGGAATGTAATCTAGGTCTTTTTTTATATCTCCAGGTTTCTACCTAACTTTTTGAAAGTATAGAGTGCATACTATTTTATATCCTCGTCTGACAGACCTAACATCTGTCAGGTTTCACCAACTTTGATTTATTGATTTTTGTCCTTATTATTGGCTTTATTTGATTGGATGCCATTCTTTAGTATAAACCCAGAGGGGGCGGGTCCATTCTTTAGTATAAACCCAGAGGAGGCAAGTCCAGAACCATAAGAGCCGAGCCGTGGAGGCAGACTGTGGCTACCTAAATCCGTCATCCATAAACACATGAAATCTTTGTGGAGACAGACATTTATGCAGGTGGTGTATGTTTTCCTTGATGTTTTGGGAAAAAAAAAAATTACCAACTCAAAGGGAAAGCAGTGGAAAATATTTCTTAAACCAGGGATCGTGACAAAACTGCCGGAGAAGCTGGCATCCCCTAAATCAACGGCCATGCTGCACGCGGGCGCTCCAAGCAGCACACTGCCCTACAAACCCTGGCAAACCCCTCTCAACGCACTCAAAACTGCCAGGCGGCCGGCTAGCGGGAAGACCGGCGGGCTAGCGATGGGCTAGCGATGGGCTAGCGATGGGCTAGCGATGGGCTAGCGATGGGCTAGCGATGGGCTAGCGCCCGAGCGGTTCTCTAGCACAGGCTTTGGGGGAGAAGCGAGCCTTCCCTCACCCTTCTCGTTGAAAGGTGTGTGCCAGGCAAGGAGGTAGTTGTCCGGCTTCAGTTTCGAGCAGCCTTCGATGGTTGAGGGGTCTGCTCGGCGTTCAGGAAGCTTCTCGAGCACTTCCACGTAGCGCCTCACCATCTCCCGGTACAGGTCGTCCAGGCACCAGTAGTCTGGGGAAGGAAGGGGGAGGCAGGGTGAGAGCCCGCGGAAGCACGTCTGCTCCATAAACCCGGCACAACAGCCACCACGGAAGGGACAGCAAGCGTTCCGTTTCCCAGGCGGTGGGAGAGGAGGACCATCTTAGGGACCCATCTCACACAGCCCGGCTACCCAGAGAAATTCAACATGCAGACAAATCATTCGCTTAGATTTCACCCAGGTTTCAGACATTATAATTTGCTGTTGTGCTTACTGTTCTAACTGCACACGAGAATCTAGGCACTCATAGGCTGCTAACCGTTCTGTCCATGTGAGGACTAACTGGACTGAAATCTGCCTGTTCCCTGGGGTTTCAAGGACCCACATCGGAGGCCCAGGGAGGGAGTTTCTCCCCATCTTCTGTTTCCTTCTTCTCAAAGCTGATGACACAGCCAGTGCCTCCCAGGAGGTGTCCTACCCGGTACCCCGCTGTGTGAAGGTGTCTCAAGTCCCTAGAAGATCACAGGGCACAAGGACAGAGGGGCCAGCGCACACTGACCGCCTGCCGTCTGCCCATCAGGACACCTTAGATGATCTTATGCAATCCTCCCACGACATTGTCAGGCTCTTATTTGTCATACGGTTGATTTTCCAGATAAGGTGCAGGAGGTTATATGACTTGCCCAAGGCCAGGGCTGGTAAATACATTTTGATTGCAAAGCCTGAGTATTTCTGCTACTAAACTAATCCACAACATGGTAGGTAGAGGCCACACACCCTCCAAAATTGCTTGGTCACCTGGGCGAGCCAGACCGGGACGGTGGAGGACTGCTACGCCAGGCAGGGCATGCCAGCAGGTGTGGGGTGTCCTTGCCTATGTACGTGGCCCTATAGGTCCCAACAAACGGATCTGTGCTAAAATTGCATGCCAGGCATGTGGGCTGACATCAGGATTCCCTGTGTTTGGGGGCCTGTGGGGGAGGGAGGAGAGATCACCTCTCGGCCAACCTGGACTCAGAGCAGGCAGGGAGGCCCCTTTGGCGTGAAAACCCGCTGACCTTCTGTGGCCTGACCAGAGCCTTCATGAGGGCATCCAGAGCTGGGGTCCCAACACAAGGAGAGGGGTGAGAAAAATCAGAAGTGCACTTGGCAAAACGCTCCCTGCTCCAGGACGGAAGCCTCAGTCCTGGCAGTGGATATAGCAGGTGGCACCCTCATATCCCAGAGGTGTGACCCTTTGGAGGTGGACCAGTGAAAGGGCGGCTCTAAGTCCTTTTGTGCCATTCTCTGACCTCTAACAGCAAGGGGCGTCCAAGGCCCAGCCACTGCTCCCGTCCTCTGCATGCCCCAGTTCTGAGTAGGGGACAGGGAGGATACCGCCAGGTCTTGGCTGTGGAGGAGTGAGCTCTGCTGGTCTCGTGGAGGGTGTTCCAGGGGCAACGCTGCTGGAATCAAACTGACCTCCCCCCCGGGAGGTGTGAGCCGCTGGCACCTGTCCAGGCTCTGTTGCCAGCACGGTCAGTTACAAACGGCCTTTCGTGATGAACTCAATCCAGGGTGAATAAGCCTGGCCCTCCCAGAGTCCCCGAAAATAATTCCTTTTATTCTGGAATCATATCATTTTTTAAAGGAAAAACACTCCTTAAAAACACAGTGGCATCTTAAAGCCTTGTGCTGGTTTCAGGTTAAAATTTAAAGTAGAAACAGATTTTTCAAAGCTGCAGAACCTCGGACCCTCTCGCCTGAATTTCTCTATTTCGTGAAACACGATTACTCAACTAATTTCTTCTCTATCTTTCCCACCCAGTCTCCTAAAAGACCAACCAGCTTATAATATCCCCTGTAAGGCTCCCAACTAATCTCATAATAAAGAAAAGTCACAATACCAATATAAGTTACTTTGTAAGAAAAATGTCAACTTTTCAAAAATGTTGTCACCAGGGAGACATTGTTGGAGAAAGAGAAATAAGGAGCCGAGTTTGGACAGGCCTTGTCTGCTCATACTTGGATCAGGCCCCAGGCTCCCCTGCCAAGTCATGGACACACGGGTGGCACTTGCTGCTGTCCTCAGTGGGCTAGTAAACCCCCTCCCCCAGTGCCTTTCCTGCAGCAACAGTGACAGGGCTACTTTGCTTGGCCACGACAGTAGGAGCTGCTGACCCTTAGATGCCTAAGGCACTGTAGAAAGACCAATGTTAACTATATCGCCATGAGCCAACTTCCCGTATAACTTATGCTGTCCCATTTAATCCTCACATAACCCTATGAAGAAGGTATTATTATCCTGAGGTAAAGCTCAGAGAGGGAAGGTGGTTTTCTGGACAGTAAGTGGTAACGAACTAGGAGTGTCATGCTCCAGAGACCCTTAAAGGAAGCGCTCCAACCTTGGGTGATGGGCACAGGACCACGCACACAAGGGCCTTTGGTAAATGCGTGTCAAGTGGGCTCTTTGCTCATAAACTCTGTACTCTGGATTACCCATCCACCTTGTAGGGTATTAGCTGCTTACCGTATCTGCTTTCATTTAACACTGCCCTTTTCAGAGACACACCCAAAAGTAGGGCACCACACAGGCTGCACCTGACCGTCCTCGTCATGCTCACTCTATAGCAGAACAGTGGTTCACCAGACCACACAGCTACATGGTTTATGGGGGTAAGGTACTTATTAGTGAAACTTACTTAAATCTGCCAAGATGTAGTTCCACTTTGTGAAACTCTGCCTCTCTTTGGAAAACTTGTTGAAAAACCACTGTTCAGTGGGATCCTTGAAATATTTGCATGTCCAGTACCCTCAGGTGGTTAGGACAGTGCTTAACAATATAGGTGTTGGAGCCAGGTTGCTTGGGTTCCATCCCTGAACGGATGCTCACTCTGCTGTGTAGAATGGTGCCTGTTACCTAACCTGTCTGTGTATCAGTTAGTTCTCTTATCCATAAAACTGTGGTAATGAAGTCAACCTCTGGGTGATGTGGAGGTTAGATGATGGATGATTCGTGAAGATTGAACAATGCCTGGCATGTAACTAGTTAGCTCAGAGACCCCTTCTCCAGGCTACAATTTGTTATTTAAAGAAAGAAAAAATGAACTGTTTGAAAACTAAACATAAATGAGATTTCAACTTAGATTTTTTTTTTTTATCCTCACCCGAGGACATTTTTGCATCTATCTTCAGACAGAGCAGGAGGGAGAGAAGGGGCGGGGGGAGAGAGAGAAACATTGATACGAGAGAGTCAATCGACTGGCTGCCACCCACACAATTTCAACTGGGGCTGGGGACAAACTGCAACCGAAGCATATGCCCTTAGTGGAACCAAAACCAGAATTCTCTGGTCTGTGGGCTGATGCTCTAACCGCTGAGCCAAACTGGCCAGGGCTCAACTTAGATTTTTATCAATTGAAAAATATGCTTGCTTGAGGTTTTGGAGGAGTATGGTTCCAGGTGGCAGACTTCTTGGGTTTTCTCTCATGCCCCACAGAGTCAGAAGGTGCTGCCATGTATAGCAATTACATACTACCACAATGGGTGGCTGTGATCATGTGGAGGGAACTCATCTTCCTCCTTAAAAACAATGCATCCTCTTCAATGCATACATTTCACGTTGAGGGTAAATTAGGTCCCATTTCTGCTAAGAGGACTTGACTCCGTCTAATCTCAGAGAGCGAGTTACGGTCAGAGGTGCCCTGACCTGTGCTGTCCCAGGGGTAACCACACAGGACAGAGACATGTTGTCCATTCTGCCATTCACAAAAACTCACTAAAGTGCTAATGGAGATGGGGGCAAACAGGGAGGACATGTGGGGTGTGGACTGTGTGCACACGGCATCAACCAGACACAAATGAAGGGAGCAAAGTGTAAGTGTAAGAACCAGCTGTCTGCTGCTGAAACCAGCCATGGTTTTGTTTTGAAAGCCATGCTCCCCAGCAGGTTCAAAGCCGGTGGGCATGACTGCTTCGGGCTGCTGGGACATTATTTAGTACTGTTGAACACAAAGTCCATGAGAATCTTCCTGAACGCAGACGGGAACCATTTGGATTCCACAGCTGTGTAGACTCAGAAAGACACTTCACCGTTTTCAGCATGCGGTGACACTTTATCTTATCTATGGTGCTTTAGCTCTGTCCCAAGCTATTTAGGAACCGGTCACAAAGTAGACCACATTCTTGAACAGTGACCACAGAACTAAACTGAGTGTGCTCACAGCAGACACATGGAATGGTGAGGTGAGCTCATAAGTGAGATTTCATTGAATTAACAGTCGCTCTCAGAGTTTAATTTTGCAGCAACCTGCTAATAACACAGGATTTTAAAGAGCAAATGACTTGTAGGAAAAGTGTGCGACGTAGTTATACATGTGTTTCTCTGAACTTCATGTAAAAACTTGTTGGTCCTAAAATCAACCTGCTATTTAAAGAATATTTCAAGAAACTTTGTCTCTCCATTCCCCCAAATTCAACCAATTTTATAGCATTTTCTTAGGACATATTTATGTATAAGTAACTATCCAAGCTAAATCATATTTCAGTAGCTGGTGTTTTAACCTTAATTCATTTGAATTTAGAAGCAATCCCCTGACAACATTATCTTAATTTGTACACGTTTCAAAACAGGCTTATTACTTTATATTCTTTTGAAATAAATCCAGATGAAGGCTTAATGTCTGCAGTGAAAAGTTGAGCCCTCTCCCAAAACAGCCCCAAAGTGAGATTTAATTTAACTTAACTCCAGAGACAGAGGGCTCAGCGTAGCAAGCATTGTACAGACAAGAGAAAAGTCACTGTTTAAGAAACTGACTCTGCAGATAAGCCGAGTGAAATAATGTTGTCATCCAGAAAGACTACATGAGAAACATGATCTGTGGCACGTCTGATTTCCTGAGGGACACTGGTGTCTATTAAATTGCCACTTTTAGCAGCGGCATCGGGCGACACCACGGCCGAAAGGCCGCATCGCCTTCAAAGCTCCAGCGCTTTCTGCAAGAGCTCGGTCCCGGGACACGCTGAGGGGCAGCGGCCGAGCCTTACCTGTGGTGAGGGCCCTGGCCGTCGTCATGTGCATGATGGTGTTGTCACTCACAGGCCACTTCTCCGGTGAGAGCACGAGGTGGTCCAGTCCCCCGAGGGTTTGCAGCCCCTCCTGACTCTTCGTGCCTGAAGCACCGTTCTCCCTGCGGCCGTTTCTGTAACCGAGAGCATCCCCGACACTCCCCAGCAGCATCCCAGCCTGAAATCTCTCCATTGCGCAGGCGGCTCCTCTGCCCGCCCAGCTGCCCAGCACGTCCAGTCTTTGTTGCTTTGTGGCAGTGGCAGCCTTAGTCCACCCTGCTGACCTCTGTTCTGGTCATTGTGTTGCTCCTCAAATAGCCAGGCACTACTTTTCTGTCTGCAGGTGGCACCAATGAGAGAACCTTTCTGGCCCCGCAGCTCACAGCGCTTCTGAAGAGCCACGTGGAAGTGTCAGCTTCCTTCCCGTCTGGACAGACACTGCTCTGCGACAGGGGAGCATCCAGGACAACTGCAGACGCTCTCTCACAGAGCAACGACTTTTAAGCAGTGCATCTTTGCACAGCATTCTTGAAGAAATGCACTTATTTCTAAAGCTTTAAGGTGTAATTTACACACCATGAAATTCACCCATGTTCAGGGCACAGTGGGATGAGCTTGGTAAAGGTATACCTGCTGTGCACCTCTCACCACAGACCAGCTTTATAACACTTCTGTCCCCCCCAAAGTCCCCTGTTCCCCACACCGCACCCCCAGGCAACCACTCATCTGCTTTCTGTCTCTATAGTTGTGCCTTTTCCAGAATTTCAAAGAAATAGAATTATGCATTATGTAGCCTTTTGTGTCTAGCTTTACTTAGATTTTTAAAAAAATCTTCATTGTTGAATGTATTACAGATGTTCCTCATTTTTTTTCCCCTTGACCCCCTCCTCCCCACTCCTGCCCCCCTCCCGCCTTTTCCCACATTGTTGTCTGTGTCCATTGGTTATGCATATAAGTTCTTTGGTTTATTTCTTCCCACCCCCCAACCCCTTTCCCTTTGAGGTTTGTCAGTCTAGCAATGAATTCGTACTTCTTAATCTCTTCACCTTTTTCACCCATTCCCCCAACCCTCCTCCCATCTGGCAACCAACAAAATGTTCTCTGTATCTATGAGAATGTTTCTGTTCTGCCTGTTCCTTTTGTTTGTAAATTCCATTGTCGATAGATATGTATTCATTGCCATTTTGTTTGTTCATATATTTTATCTTTTTCTTCAAAAAGACCCTTCAACATTTCATATAATAATGGTTTGGTGATGATGAACTCCTTTAACTTTTTCTTGTCTGGGAAACTCTTTATATGGCCATCGATTCTAAATGACAGCTTTGCAGGATAGAGTAATCTTGGTTATAGGTTCTTGCTTTTCATCACTCTGAATATTTCTTGCCACTCCCTTCTGGCCTGCAAAGTTTCTTTTGAGAAATCAGCTGACAGCCTTATGGGAACTCCCTTGTAGGTAACTAGCTGCCTTTCTCTTGCTGCTTTTAAGATTCTCTCTTTGTCTTGAACCTTTTCATTTTGATGATGATGTGTCTTGGTGTGGGCCTCTTGGGGTTCATCTTGTTTGGGACTCTCTATGCTTCCTGGACTTGTATGTCTGTTTCCTTCACCAAGTTAGGAAAGTTTTCTGCCATTATTGTTTCAAACAGGTTTTCGATTTCTTGTTCTCACTCTTCTCCTTCTAGCACCCCCAAGATGCAAATGTTGGCACGCTTGAAGTTGTCCCAGAGGTTCCTTACACTATCCTCATTTTTTTGGATTCTTTTTTCTTTTTGCTCTTCTGATTGGGCTTTTTTTTTGCTTCCTTATATTCCAAATTGATGGTTTGCTTCTTAGATTTACATACTCTACTATTGAAGCTGTGTAAATTATTCTTTATTTCAGTTAATGCCTCCTTCATTTCTGACTGTGCATCCATCATTTCTAACTGGTCCTTTTTTATGCTCTTGAGGCCCTCCCTAAGTTCACTGAGGTTCCCACTAAGTTCATTGAGCATCCTTATAAGCAGTATTTTGAACTCAGCATCTGTTAGGTTGCTTATCTACATTTTGCTTAGTTCTTTTCTTGGGGTTTTGTTCTGTTCTTTCATTTGGGACTTGTTTTTTTGTCTCCTCATTTTGGCTGCCTCCCTGTGTTTGTTTCTGTGTATTACTTAAGGAGAGGTATGGGGCTCGCTGAGACCCGATGCTGCTTGTTTGAAAGAATTTAGGAAAACCTGAAACAGGATCCAAGACAGGCCAATCCTATGGTTAAGCAACTGGCAACAGCTTCGTGGGCCTGAAAGTTGGGTGGGGCGGGGCCTCAGGGAGTCACCAGGGCGGGGCTACCAGTGTGAGCCAGGTTGCTGGAGTCCCAGATATGGTGGCTGTCTGCCGCCCCAGGGAAGGGCTCACCAAAGGAACAAAGGCCTCTGACAGCACATTTGTCCTGGAGAAAGCCCCCTCTCCAGCCCTCGCTCCAGTGCCAAACAGCTCAGTTCTTCCCTGTATGTCTCTGGCGCCCGTGGAGCTGCCTCCCCTCCAAGCTTAGAGGGAGAGAGTCCGATAAGTCCGTGCGCGGGCCCTTTAAGAGGAGCTGCCTGAGGCTCCAGCCGCCTCAGCCTCCCTGAGCCTCAGTTCCCGCTGGTTTTTCCAGCCAGAAGTTATGGGGATTCTCTTCCTGGCACTGGAACCCTGAGCAGGGCGTCTGGTGTGGGACGGGGACCCCTCAGTCCTCAGGAAGGACCTTCCCAGCCAAAGTGTCCTCCTGATTTTATCTGCCACACGTGGGTGTGGGACCAGCCTGTCTCGCCACTGGTCTCGATGTGGCTGCTGCTTTAATTCCGTAGTTGTAGGACTTCCATTCAGCCTGATTTCAGGTGGTTTTGAATGATGGTTGTTCTGTAGTTTAGTTGTAACTTTAATGTGGTTGTGGGAGGACGCGATACCGCGTTTACCTACCCGCCACATTGGCCGGAAGTCTCTAGCTTTACTTAGATTTACTTGAGATTCATCCATCATGGTTTTATTTTTTGGAAAACTTTTTTTTGGAATATAAAATATGTTTATGATAGAACTCTGAGAAAATGCAAAGTATAAAGAAACAAAGCATACCTGGCCCCAGTGTGAAAGATTGTGAGGTGTTCTCACAACTCAGTGTTCAACAAAAGGCTCGCAAAATGACCAGACTTTAGATCACAACGTGTGTGAGCGGAGCGCAGAGCCTACAGTGGCATCCGTGAGGGTGCATCAGCTCCATGCGTTTACATACTCCGTCAACTCACCGTAAGAATGTTCAAAGCGATGAAGAGGCTGGGGGGAGCTGGAATGTGTAAACCAGGGATTTTTTTGTTTGCTTGTTTATTTTTGTTTTTGTTAATCAATGTTTCCATTGATTTTTAGAGAGGAGGGGCGGAGAAGGAGAGAAACATTGATGTGAGAGAGACACATTGATTGGTTGCCTCCCACACAACCCCAACTCCAATCGGGGCCAGGGATCAAACCTGCAACCCAGGTACATGCCCTTGACCGGAATTGAACTTGAGACCCTTTGGGCTGAAGACCGACACTCTAACCACACACTGGCCAAAGCTAAACCAGAGGATCTTGATTTGAAACAAGTCACTGTCCCCTGGGCCCTGGAGAGTGACAGTGTCCCCACTAGGACCATGCTTCTCCCCGTCACCCAGGACCTGGTTACATATCATACAAGAAGTGGGAGGGCGTCAACCTGAACTTAAGAAACACATCTGCTGCCCTAGCCGGTTTGGCTCAGCGGTTGGAGCGTCGGCCTGCGGTCCTGAGAGACCCGGGTTCGGTTCCCGCTAAGGGCGTGTACCTCGGTTGCAGTTTGTCCCCGGCTCTGGTCAGTCAGTCGTGTGGGTGGCAGCCACTCCATGTGTTTCTTTCGCATCGATGTTTCTCTCTCTCTGTTCCTCTCTCTCCCTCCCACTCTACCTGAACAAAAAATGAAAAAATGTCCTCGGGTGAGGATAAAAAAAGAAAAGAAAAAAAAAAAGAAACACATCTGCTAAAAATAGAATTTCTTTCAATAATAACAATGATAGAATGCGTTTAAATGAACATAGAGCGTTATCACAGCCCTTGTTAAAAATGAGGTTCTGGGATATTATTCCAGTTAGCACTGAGAGATTCTGAAGCAATCCTTCAAAACCAGCACAGATGGCCCTGGATTTCTGGGTATGCGGGTCCCTTATCCGAAAGGATGAGGCAGACAACAGCAGCCCTACATTTAGACAACTTCCACTGTAGGTAGAACAGCATCATTTGGCAGAAATATTTACTGTTGAGGGCAGAGAGATGGTCTAGGGTTAGTTTCATTTGCTAATTCTGAGGCAGGGGAAACCTTTATTAAAGATGCTAGAAGCCAACTCCATACTAACTGGCCTGTGTCAGCAAATAGAAAGAGATGAGATATGTTCACTCAACGTTTACTGAGCCCCAATTGTGTGCTGCCAAGTGTGGATATAGCAACTAACAGAAAAAAATCTGCCTCCATGGAGTCTGAAGTCTGAGAGAGGTATAATATTACTTAAACTTTTACTGAATTAAAGTAACACAATGACATGTATTACGCCACCAAGACAAAAAAAGAGACGACTGCTATTCCAGAAAATCTTGGCAGGCACTGTATGAAGGCACAAGTAATGTGTATTTATGAAACCTATTATATTTAGTTAATTTGTGTATTGTCAATATGTTTATAGCTTGAATTTCAGTGTATTCTGGTTATATATAATTCCTATCAACTCAAGGGTTGTGTATTATGAGCTCTGTAATTTGTCTCAAGAAAGCCATATATTTTTTTTTCTTTATTAATTTTTAGAGAGAGAGGAAGGGAGAGGGAGAGAGAGAGAGAAACATCGATGAGGGAGAACATCGACTGGCTACCTCCTGCATGCCCCCCACTGGAGATTGGGCCCACAAGCAGGGCATGTACCCTGACCGGGAATCGAACTGATGACCTCTTGGTGCATGGGTCAACATTCAACTACTGAGACACACAGGCTGGGCACGAGATAGCCATATTTATCACACTATGTGACACTTACAAAAGGAAACTAAATGGCTGAAGCTGTCAATTTGGGGACATGGTCGTTTAATTAGAGTGGCAGTCTGGACAGGGTGTGAATGTCCAGTGTTACTGCTGTAGAGGTAGCTTTCCTGCCAGCCCCATGACAGGTCAAGACCCTGACACCTAGTGGTGAGTGCTGGAGCAGCCGAGGAGAGAATTAAAAGTATACCACAACACCAGAGAAAATAATTTATTTTAATGTTTCCAAAGGTCTAAGCGTTTTCATAGCATGCATGGCTTAAATGTATGTAATAGAAGAAAAGGAAACCCACAATTTTTTGAAGAGCCTTTGTCCAATTATTACTAATGTTTTGATATCTATTGATAAGTCCATAGAGTATTTTCTCCTCATATAATCTTAAGCATAAAAGTGTCACAGACCCCTATAATTTACACAGAATTATCTGAGTTCTATAACCTTCTCTGAGCAGAACACTTACATGTCAAGAATACATGAAGCCTGCTTTACATTTGTTGAGGTTTTTATTAAAGCTAGCTTTGACTATATAAAATAAATGCTCTCTGGGAATCACAGACTTACAGATAGAGGTGGTCTTGCTTTTCCTTTTGTAGACATGGAAGTGGAGGCCTGGGAGAGGTGAAGTGACTTACCTGGGCCCTGCACCTGGTTAGGGGCCGATGGCCCCAGCCTAGCCTGTGGTCTCCAGGCCTCAGCCCCCTTTCCGATCCTCCACAGCCTGCTGCCTGTTTTTAGAGATTTCTACTCAAGAGTATACACAGTTCACAGAGTAAGTATCCGCAAACCCCATGTTGGACATGGGCGCTTCCTAAAACACGGAGTGAATCACATTTTTGAAAGTCAAATCAAAATGACACATTTTAGGCACACTTTCTGTTTACAGGAAATCTGAAGTGAATTTCCTCTGTCCCGAATAACCCCAATTTATTTGTCTCATAAACTGGGTTACGGGCAGGGCAGCAGGCACACTTGTGACGGGAAGATCTTTTCAAATATGAGGTAGGGTCCACACAGTGATTTTTCAAAACTCTACACAGAGCTTTTCCAAAAGAAGAGCAGGTGCAGTGCAGGCCTCCCGCGATCCCTGTGCTGCCCTGGGCGGTCCTTGTTGACAAGGCAAACACCAGAAAAACCAGAGGGCGGCCTGAGGCACAGACAGACTTCAGCTCACAAATGAGATGGTTTCCGATTTGGTGTTTTTTTGGACAATGATGTGCATTTTAGTTTCCAAACGTGTACAACCATACAAAGGGCTAGAGAGTGGACATTATGGATATTACAGATATTTGAAGGAACCAACTCACTTGATTTTTAAATCTATAATTCGTCATTCATAAAAGAAATATTCTTCATGGAAAAATGTCTTTTTTAAGTATAATAAAATACATTCTTTAAAAAAAAAAACTTCTTAGGAAGTTCAAATGACATTATTAGAAGTAAAATAGACCTGCTGACTTGTAAACAGTTGAAAATAAAACTTTCCCGGAATTATCACATACTACATGTGCCGCCGCTGTGGAAACTGTAATGGCTATTAAAAACTATAAAATGATTTTCAGATGAACATCTAGAGAAAATTAAAACAAAAATAGATCTGGTAAATCTAGATATTTGATAATTCAAAAAATAGAAATCTTGAATTCCTGGCACCAAGTTTAAAAAAATGGTTAGAATCCACGACAAGGTCATTTTCTTTTGGGCACATTTTAAACAGCTTTGACTTGTATAAAAATACAACATCCTACCAAGGGCACAAATACTTTTTTTTTAAGTGTAATTACAATGTAATTCAGCAGAGTGTGGTGCTGCTGGTGTTCACCTGAAGTCATGAACTAACTGCGTGCTCTGCAGTCCGCAAACAGGCTCTAGGTGCTTTTTCATAAATATAAAGATCATGCAGAAATCTCCTAAAGCAACGACTACGTGACCCGTCCCAGACACTCCAAAGCAGCTGTCTTCCGAGGATCTCTTTACGGTGTCCACGCTTGGCCAGCACTTTCTTCAAGCTGAGTGAGATGGTCACTCCAGTTCCATGGCTGGTCAAGGAGGACTTCTGAAATCAGTGACATGTGTGTCCAGAAACCGACCAAAACGTCTCCTTGCAGGTTGCAGTTCATTTTATAATCCTCATCCATCTTCATTTCTGCCTAGAAAGGGCTGTGTTTGCCACCTGTGACGACTGGCCGTGCATATTCTACGAAATCATCTATGAGGACAGGCCATGCTCCTAAAGGAAAACAAGCAGATTTTTAAAAAAATTTATGTTTTAGAGCAATGTTATTTTATTCAAAGCACTTTTTTCATAATTTAACGTTCATAGTTCAAAAACTTAAATGATTGTTAGTTTCAACAGCCTGTGCTTCACTTAACTGCTGAAATTGCCCACTTCTGCTCTAGCCGGACCAGGGCCTGCACATATTGGTGTGTTTGTAGGCACACCAGGCTAGCTGGCCCTCCCGTCCCCACTGTGGGCTCATGGCCCTCAGCCCCTGCACCAGGCAGTCAGGGCCAGAGCAGAGGACCCTTGGCTCTCCCAGGTGAGAGATGCAGCCGCTTTCTTCCACTAGGGACGCTGTTCCTCCCTGAGCCCTGTCCTCTCCCCCAATCCAAGTGGCCCCCTAAATGCCCAGGACACTCACACACTACCCAGTGACCAGCCATATAGTCACTACTTTACGTTTGGGCTCCTCTTTATGTAGCCTTGTCTCACCCACCGTAGCTAAAGCTCCTGAAAGCTGGGCTTCTCTCTGAAGTCCCCCCACTCATTCAGCACAGTGACTAGCTGCCTACTCTGTGTTAGGGCGGGTGCGCAGTGCTGAGGACAGAGACACAGACATCAGGAGTGGCGAGCGCCGCTGCTAAAAAGCCTTCACCTTTCTAGAACAGAGAGGATGAGGAGGAGGAAGTCACTCCTAGCCGGGCACCCAGGAAGCAGACGGTGGGTGGGGGTCTGGAGAGGGAGCATTCCTTTCCAAATACGTAGGCATTCAATGTCCCCTGAGTGTCCTGGAATATTTGGCAGTTGGGCCCATGGCCATTATGTTCATGCAGGTGAACATAACCTGGAATCATCACATAAGCCTAAACGCCCTAACAACCCGAGGCAGCATCACATGGGATTTGTACTTGCCGCAGCCTTTCTCAAACACCCGCTTTCTAGAGTCCGCCATGGGGCTCTCTGCGTGTCCGTGTTTCAAATGCTTTAGTTTAGAGCAGTGGTTCTCCCTTTGGGGGTCGAATAACCCTTTCACAGGGGTCGCCTAAGACCATCGGAAAACACATATTCCCAATGGCGATTCATAACAGTAGCAAAAATACAATTATGAAGTAGCAACAAAAATAATTTTATGGTTGGGGGTCACCACAACATGAGGAACTGTATTAAAGAGTCACGACATTAGGAAGGTTGAGAACCACTGGTTTAGAGAATTGTCTTCTGGATTAAATAAATATGAAACCCTATTTTTCTTTTGTGATTTCAATACATAATAAAGTGGATACTATTATTATCATCATCACCTCCATTTCATCAGTGGGGTAAAGCCAGGAGTCAACTGGGTCCCATCTGACCCCAGTGCTACGTCTCCATCACGGTCCTGCTTTCCAGGGCCCGCCTGACCCCGTCCCTGTCACCGCCACCGTCCTGTGCTCTAGGCCCCTTCTGACCCCAGTGCTACGTCTCCATCACAGTCCTGCTTTCCAGGGCCCGCCTGACCCCATCCCTGTCACCACCACCGTCCTGTGCTCTAGGCCCCTTCTGACCCGAGTGCTACGTCTCCATCACGGTCCTGTGCTCTAGGCCCCTTCTGGACCCCAGTGCTACGTCCTCCATCACGGTCCTGTGCTCTAGGCCCTTCTGACCCTAGTGCTACGTCTCCATCACGGTCCTGCTTTCCAGGGCCCACCTGACCCCGTCCCTGTCACCACCACCGTCCTGTGCTCTAGGCCCCTTCTGACCCGAGTGCTACGTCTCCATCACGGTCCTGTGTTCTAGGCCCCTTCTGACCCCAGTGCTACGTCTCCATCACGGTCCTGTGCTCTAGGCCCCTTCTGACCCTAGTGCTACGTCTCCATCACGGTCCTGCTTTCCAGGGCCCACCTGACCCCGTCCCTGTCACCATCACCGTCCTGTGCTCTAGGCCCCTTCTGACCCTAGTGCTACGTCTCCATCACGGTCCTGCTTTCCAGGGCCCGCCTGACCCCGTCCCTGTCACATCACCGTCCTGTGCTCTAGGCCCCTTCTGACCCTAGTGCTACGTCTCCATCACGGTCCTGCTTTCCAGGGCCCGCCTGACCCCGTCCCTGTCACCACCACCGTCCTGTGCTCTAGGCCCCTTCTGACCCTAGTGCTACGTCTCCATCACCGTCCTGTGCTCTAGGCCCCTTCTGACCCTAGTGCTACGTCTCCATCACGGTCCTGCTTTCCAGGGCCCGCCTGACCCCGTCCCTGTCACCACCACCGTCCTGTGCTCTAGGCCCCTTCTGACCCGAGTGCTACGTCTCCATCACGGTCCTGTGCTCTAGGCCCCTTCTGACCCCAGTGCTACGTCTCCATCACGGTCCTGTGCTCTAGGCCCCTTCTGACCCTAGTGCTACGTCTCCATCACGGTCCTGCTTTCCAGGGCCCGCCTGACCCCGTCGCTGTCACCATCACCGTCCTGTGCTCTAGGCCCCTTCTGACCCTAGTGCCTACGTCTCTCTCCATCACGGTCCTGCTTTCCAGGGCCCGCCTGTCCCCGTCTCTGTCACCATCACGGTCCTGTGCTCTAGGGGGAGAAAAAGTTAGCACACATATTAGCATTTCTGGTGATCACCAGAAGTACAACTTCAACTTCTCGTACCTTCTTCATCATAGTTAGACATGTCATCTGCAATCATATTTCCAAAATCTAGCAGAAGGTTCCAAGTGTCCCTTGGGATTGATCTTTTGTGATGTTCCTAATATATAAGAGAAAAAAAAACCCCACCAGATTTAAGATAGAGAAATAACTCTCAGGTGCTCTAGTGATCTAGTTATCTCAGTACATAATTTGATGAAGAATAAGTATCATACGAAAATTGTTAAAAGTTAAAAATAGTGCTTTAGATAAATGTTAAGAGCTACATAATGTCAATGTGCAAATACAAAAAATAAATTTATTTACAAATAAAACATGTAAAATACAAACATTAGCCCTGGCTGGTTTGGCTCAGCAGTTAGAGCATCGGTCTGGAGACCAATGAGTCGTGGGTTTGATTCCGGTCAAGGGCACATAGGTCTGTTGCGGTTCATCCCTGGCCCTGGTTGGGGTCGTGCAGGAGGCAACCAGTCGATGTGTCCCTCTCATGTAGATGTTTCTCTCTTGACCTCTCGCCCTCTGTCTCTCTCCCCGTCCCTCCCACTCTATCTGATGATAAATAGAAAAATATCCTCGGGTGAGGATAAAAAAAACATTATAAGAACCTGTTTCAGTCAAATCAAGCACAGCATTTTAATCTCTTTACCTAACCCCAAGCCAATTCAGAAACAACATAGAGTAATAGACAAGTTGTTTTTCGATATATTTTTTCTTTCTTTTTTAATCCTTACCTGAGGACATTTTTGCATTTATCTTCAGATAGATCGGGAGGGAGAGAGGGAGGAAGAGAGAGAGAAACATCTACGTGAGAGACACACTGAGTGGTTGCCACCCACATGACCCTAACCGGGGCTGGGGACAAACTGTAACTGAGGTACATGCCCTTAGCGGGAACCGAACCTGGGACTCTCTGGTCCGCAGGCCGATGCTCTAACCGCTGAGCCAAACTGGCCAGGGCTTAATTTTTCTATATACTAGGTAGTTCTTGCAGTGTATTGGGACAACTTTCTATACATATCTTTGTTATTCAATATTTCAGATATACCCAAAATATGAAGAATAATGTAACATCTGTGTGCTATGGTTTATCATCCAGCTGCAGCAGCAAACCTGCAACCCCCCCCCCACTTCTCTCTCATTCTGCTGTTTCTTCTTACAGAGGTGCTCATCCTCCTGATCAGCATTTATCATTTTCATGCCTGTCTCTGTACATACAGCATAGGCATATGCATTCATAAACAACTTACAAGCTCTTCTTACATTTAAAAACATTCATATAACTACTACCAAATCCTATGTTGTCTTCTGCAACTATTTTTGTTTTGGTTAATCCTCACGTGAGGATATTTTTCCATTGTTTTTTAGATAGAGTGGGAAGGAGGGAGGGAGACAGAGAGAAACATTGATATGAGAGAGACAGATACATTGATTGGTTGCCTCCCACTTGACCCTGACCAGGGCCAGGGATCGAACCTGCAACCCAGGTACGTGCCCTTGGCTGGGAAGCAAACCCATGACCTTTCAGTCTGTGGTTGATGTTCTATCTGTTGAGCCAAGCCAGCCAGGGCTGTAACTTGTTTTTGTTTCACTCAACACTATGTTTGAAATGTATCCAGCCTAATTCATGTAAACCTAGATTGATTCATTTCATTCTCTGTGGTTGTACTCTACTGCATTTACACCCTGAGTTTTCACTGCTCTCCTGTTGATGAACACTGGCTGTTCCCAGTGTTGCTGTTAAAATGATGTGAGAGCATTGTCATTGTGCATGTGTGTGCAGGTTCTTTGGGGAATGTCTGCAGTTGAGGTTACTGGCCCCAAAACTAGTGAGTGGTGGAACAGAGTAAATGTGACCTGCTGTTACTCAGTTGAACATAGACATTATCGTGCTATTTCAAGAAGGGCCTTAAAACACAACTGTTCTCAGTGGAGGGGCTTGTCCTCAGCCAGGTTAGGGCTCCTCTCACACTCACGGATGGAACCAACAAGGGAGATCTGGGCACATCTGATATCACAACTGTCTATTTTGGAGTCAGGGTGTATCCTTGTGCTCCATGCACTTTGGATAGGCACAGCTACACCAGCTTCCCTTATTCGTGCTATGAGGCGCCATCTAACTAAGAAGGCCCAGCATGACTGGGATGACTGCCTCCAGCACAGATGGGCTCTCTCCTAAAGGGACCAGCAATGCCCTCCTTTCCTTCTAGGCATCACGAAATACATTTTGAAATGGCATCAGACTATGAACGCACTCGCAGTGGCAAGTTCCACTGGACAACAATACACTCCGTCCGAAACCCCAGCCTGGGAAGGAGCCCCTTTTGCAGTCTGTCTCAGAGCAGCCCTGCCTGAAACTCAGGGGCTGTGTGCTCTACAGGTGGCAAAACTATCTGGCAGCTTGTCAGGTACCTGGTGATTGCTGTATCGAACTTTCATTTACCACAATGCCCATGTATAATACTTTGGTTAGATAAAATGCACAGCCACATAACCTGCTGACCGCCCCTTTACCCTGGGCTCACATGGCAAGAAGCAGAAGGACACTTACCAATAAAAAGGTGTTCCAAAGATCTAAAAACTTAAACCTTCCAGATAACACTAAATTCCAATATGCAACGGCCATTTCTAAATCTGGCAAAAAAAAAAAAGGGCAGTTAGTAAATCCCAATTTCTTTTTCTGTTGCACAAAAAACAACCACTTCTTAGCACACTGATATTCACTTACTAAAACTCAGCAGTCTTACCCGAGAGTACTATGAGGCTCATTCCTTATAGAAGTATTCCTAAAATTATGTGTAATCTAATTTTATAACTTTGAGCAAATGTCTCCTACAAAGGATTTGTGTTTTATGTTATTTGAATGTATAATTATCCCTAATTAATAAGTTTTGAAGACTCTCATTTTCATACATATCAGGCTTTCTTTAAACCTGAACCAACCTGAATATTATGAATGCATATCATTTATTTTTTGAAAAGTAAGCCAACGTACTTTCTTTTTTAAAATGTTTTTATTGATTTTTTAGAGAGAGAGGAAGAGAGATCGAGATAGAACATCAATGTGAGAGAGAAACATCAACTGGCCGCCTCCTGCATGCCCCCTACTGGGGATTGAGCCTGCAACCCAGGCATGTGCCCTGACCAGGAATCAAACCAGGACCTCTCAATCCTTGGGACAATGCTCAATCCACTGAGCCACACCGGCCAGGCGTGGCCAATGTGCTTTCTAAGTTAAACAACTTGAAATAAAGTGACATAGTGTTTTCCAAACAGACTTGCCCTGTCACTGTAAAAATTAAAACAGAATCTGATTCCAAAGTAAGTCATATAAGCTTTGTAAGGACTTGGAATTGTACTTTCACTGATGTAAGGATAGTTAAAAATCTAGATGGTTATTAATCAAAGTCGATGTCCTCATTCCCCGCAACCCCCCCTACCCCGCCCAACTGGAAGGTAGTGATTATTTATTTCACTACTTTTTTTTTAATTTAATTTTTTGTTTTTATCATCTGATAGAGTGGGGGGGGGGGAGAGAGAGAGAGAGACAGATAGAAACATCGATGTGATAGAGCCACATCGACTGGTTGCCTTCCATATGACCCAACCAGATACGGGGACATACTCCAACCGAGGTACGTGCCCTTGATCAGAATCAAACCCACAACTCATTGGTCCGCAGGCCAATACTCTAACCACTGAGCCAAACCAGCCAGGGCTATTTCACTACTTCTATATAAACCTATGTTGTAGAGCTCAATCTTAAGATGATGTCTTAATGTAATATGAATGCTGAGTTTTAGGGCTGTGTTAGAATATTATCCCCAATCCATTTTTGGAACACTAAGATTTATTCTCTGCTCACCAGAAGTTTAATATCTATTTCTTTTTATATGCTTGACATAGAAAGTACATAAAGAGGCCAAGAAGTTTATTTCTTAAAATTGATGACCTTTAATTACTACTTTTAGATAATAAATGAACAGTTACAATGAAATAATTTCCTAATTATATGTTTACATATGTATGTTAGATAGACTAATGTGAAAAGCATTTTAAATATTTAAGGTAACAGATTATTTTAAATACAAAATACTAAAAGATTTTAATCTAAATCTTGTTTGGTCTTACTGGGACAAAAATTATTCAAGTTACAGCTCTATCCTGAGACTTCCAGAGTCAACCATTATTAAAAAGAGATGTATGAATAGCAACAACTTACAACAAAACGCCCATATTCCCTATGTGTTTAAAATCCATGATAGACTTTCTCAGTCCTAAATACCCTGGTGTCTTAATCAGAAAGAAAGAAATGGTCAGAAGTTTTCAAGGAACCAACAGTATGGAAAGGCTCACTGAACCTTACCTATGGGGCCCGCAGTATAACACTAAGATGATTAATCTTGTCCTGCTAAGTCTACATCCTTATCATTTAGGGAGAACGTTAATTGAATTCTATACTCAACTCATCCTAATGATGAGAAGTCTCATACTGAGAAATGGAGGTAAACCTGGGAAAAAAAGAAAAATAGTCTTATGGCAGACATTTAACTTAGTTACTTTTGGATTAGTTTGGTCCTAGAAATCTCTCTTATACAGTTCCTGATTTGTATGTTTATAAATCACAGGACCAGAAGCAAATGTACGCATTTTCAATATTTAGTATTACCTGTGTAAAAATGTTTAATAGTATCCAAATAGACTTAGCCATTTGCAAAATAACAACAGAATTCAAAATGATAAAACTTGAAAGCTGAAATCAAGAACACATAATTGCCCTGGCTAGTTTTGTTCAGTGGTTAGAGCATCAGCCTGTGGACTGGAGAGTCCCGGGTTCGGTTTCCGCTAGGGGCATGTACCTTGGTTGCAGTTTGTCCCCTGCCCCGGTTGGGGTTGTGTGGGTCTATATGTCTCTCTCACATCGAAGTTTCTCTCTCTCTCTTCCCCCCTCTCTTCCTCCCACTCTATCTGAAGATAAATGCAAAAAAAAAATGTCCTCGGGTGAAGAAAAAAAAAATTAAAAACAAAATAAAAAGAACACATAATTTTTATAGCAGCTATTTTTTTCAATAACCTCTGAAAAGTCTTATCCCCTGAGTAAGAAAATGTTCAGAAGAAGGTATTACCATTTTAAAATCTATGTTTGTGATGCTTCACTTAGAATTAGATAATAAAAATGTCCCTTCTCTCATGAAAAGATCTTTGTTTTTCATTAAAATTTTTTTTCTTTTGATTGATTTTAGAGAGAGAGGAAGGGAGAGGGAGAGAGAGATAAATAGAAACATCGATGGAAGAGAACATCGACTGGCTGCCTCCTGCATGTCCCCGTCTGGGGATCCGGCCTGTGCCCTGAACAGGAAGTGAATCAGCAACCTCTTGGTGCGTGGGTTGACGCTCAACCACTGAGCCACACTGGCCAGGCTCAAAAAAAGGTCTTTGAGAAGATATAAAAATTAGCTAATCATGAGACTATTTCTTCAAAAATCAAGATTTCTCAAAGACAACTGATTCCAGACTCTAGCCAGTATGAAACTATGTTAAGCTTCTTACATTAAAACAAAGAGTCAAATAGCTTTATCTTCTTTATTAGGCTGACCATCAGTTAAGTACAGCCTAAAGAATAATCATACATAAAACAATACAGTACACATAATCTTAACACACACACATACACAGACACACAAACATGAAGGAAATGAGAGATACATCTCGGTTTTGATTACCCCTTTCCACAGGCGTCCATGCTATTTCTACGAACTATAGGAACACTTGAATCAATCTCTTTAATTTATAATGAATCTTCCAAAAGACAGACCGTGTAATCTACTTTGGAAATCATTCAATAAATGGTTCTGTTTTGGGTGTGTAGTCATAAAATTATTTGTTTTGCTTTATTTATTTTTTCTAAAATCTCTCAAAAACCTTTTAAAATAGATCTAATATATCTGAAATGTTCAAATCATTTAATCATTTCCTGAAAAGGTTATTATTTTCCTTAATACAATTCATATTCTCTTAATTACTCTTATAAAGCAAAGAAACAAAATCAGTAGTCGTTCTAATTCTCTAGTGAATGATTTTGATAAACATTTTAAGTGCCTATAGACATAAATAAAATAATAAAAAATATTTTTTCTCAGTGAAGAAATTACAGGATTAACTATAAATTTCATCTTTTTTTGCTCTCTGATGCTAAGGAAAATCTATTTACAACAGAGGCTAAATATATTAGGCTCCATATTATAAAAATGTTTCAAAACACTCTTTACCCTCATACTGAATTTCTTTGAAATATTCACAGGGGAAAAAAAAGTTTTAAAACTTTAAATCAGATAATTAGTTTAGATTCTAATTTATGACCTCTTAGAAATTACCGAGGAATTCATAATGTATATAAAATGTAGTAACTTCAAATGGAACTGATAATACAGGATTTGCAGAGCTGGGCCTTAAGAGAGATGTACCGTCCTCATCAGTAGCCTTGCCAGCCCGAGGCCGCCATGCTATAAAAGACCCCAATGGAGCTACGTGGGGGAGCAATGAGGCATCAGGCCCTCTCGGAGTCCCTCCTGGGCACTGCAACCAAATCCAGCTGCCAGCTGAAACGCCACTGAGTGTCTGAGTTGACTGTGTGGAACAGAAGAGCTGCCCTACTGAGCCCTGCCTGAATCCCTGACTCGAAAGATCATGAGCTATAAAATAATAATTGTTGTTTACTGGGGCTGGGTGGCTCAGTTGGTTGGAGCATTGTCCCTTACACCAAAAGGTTTCGGGTTCAATTTCCCATTAGGACATGTACATAGGTTGCAAGTTTGATCTCTGGTCAGGATGCATACAGGAGGCAATGGATCGATGTTTCTCACATCAATGTCTGTCTCTCTCTCTCTCTCAACATATCCTTGAGTGAGGATTAAACACACACACACACACACACACACACACACACACACACACTATGACTGTTGTTTGAAGCCACTAAGTTTTTAGGTACTTTCTTACATAGCAATTACTAACCAAAACAGTGGGTCTGGGGTGCAACCTGAGAATCTGCAATTCAGGCAAGTTCCCAGATGATGTACTGGTCTGCAGACCTCACTATGCAAGGACCTGCAGTAAATCATAACTTTAAAAAACGTTCCTTAATAGTTTCCCAGTTCTGGCAAGTTAACTTGGCATTATAAGGTAAAAATTCTTAAAAACAATACCTACACATGGAAGTTAAATGAAATGCTAATTCTTTTTGAACGTTTTCATTTCAACATTTAAGGGAAAGAATTCCACAGACTGCAAAACATATCAGTAAGTATAAATAATTACTCCTAACAGAAGCTTAATTATACTGAAGATATTAAAGTTACAGAATGGTCAGAAAGACTACTGTCTTATCACTTACTGACATTTCAAGGTGCCCATTCCTAGTAACCATTTAACAACAATAACGAATAACTGCTGTTATTTTAAAATTTGGATCAGATAAATTGTCACTTTGAAAAATAAAGCTAAGGCCCTGGCCAAGTAGCTAGCTCAGATGGTTAGAGCATTGCCCCGATATGCCAAGGTTGCAGGTTTGATCACTGGTCAGGACACATATAAGAATCAACCAATGAATGCATGAGTAAGTGGAACAACAAATC